GGTTTTCTTCACTATTTCTATGTCTTTAGTGAATTTTCTTTTCAAATTATGAATTGTTTTTGATATTCCATTAAGCCACATATTTGTATATTCTGGAGCTTCCATCAAAAGTTTGTGCCTTTCCTTTCTGAGCTCTTTGTGTTTCCTTGCAATTCTTTGATCATATTCATGATTCTTCTTTTAAATTCTGTGTCTTGGGGTTCTGTAGGGTGGGTCTCAATGTTCTGCTCTTCTGTAGGAGTAGGGTGTTTTGTTGGGGACATGTTTTCCTGCTTTTTCATTCTGTTTGTGGTTTTGCATTGCCATCTGGGCATATGGATGTTCCTTGTCAGTTATATGTTCAATGGGAACTTCTAGAACTCTGCTTTTGATTAATTTGATTTTTTTTCTGTTAATATTGTTTATGTAGCTTGGTTACTTTGGTTTGGGTATGGATGACAAATTAGTCGGTATTTCAGATTCTTGCTGGGTACTAGACTGGTCAGAATTCTGACTGAGGAGGTCTGTCTCCTGATCAGGAAGCTGGGAATTTGGTAGTGAGGGGACCACCTAGATGAGGATTTAGGTATCTATGGTAGAGTGGTTAGGTAATCTGGTTTGGGAAGCTATTCTTAAGACCTGAGGTGAAGAAATTAGAACCTGCATGTGAGAGAGGCCTGCAGGGAGGAAGTGGGGTTGGATGAGAGAAATGGGGTAGCTAGTCCTCCTGAAGTGAATCAATTGTAGCCTGCCTGTGAGAGAGGACAGCAGGGGACTGGGTGGAGGTGAATGTGAGAAATGGGGTCAGGACGCAGTGAGATTGATCTGTCTTACGAGAGTCCTGGCTGATTTACCAGAGTTCTGGCTGAGTAGGTCTGTCTGTCTGATCCAGAGACTGGGAATTTGGCAGTGAGGGTACCACCTGGTGAGAACTTAGAGGTAGGGTGGTTGGTTAGTCTGGTGTGGGAAGTTAGTCCTGGGATTTGAGGTTAAGGGATTGGAGCCCATCTGTGAGAGAGGTTGAGAGGTTGGCAGGGGACAGAGTGGGGGTGAATGAGAGAAATGGGGTGGGGGGGCACTGAACTTGATCTGACTTATCAGAGTCCTCTAATATATTTTGAACATATTTAGACCCCTTCCTATATGCCCCTATCCTCACCCCGTTTATATCCCCTTGTCCAAACAGATTTTTTAACTTAGTACCAGCTAAAGAATTAAAGATTAAAACATTAAATATCTAATTGGAAGCTAAATTGGCTCCATTAATTCAAGCTTTACATTTGTGATAGCTTTTGATGAAAAGCCTGATTTGTTCATGAAATCGTATACTTTAGAGTCTCAGTGTGTTTCATTTCTTCTTATTTGTCCTTTGAGAATTTTTCATTGAAAAAAGGAGAGGTTAAATGAAGTGTTGAACATAGTTCATCACATCAAAATCTGGGATTGGCTCTTTTTTACCTTTTTCTCATATTTTGGGATGTGTGCTCTGTTCCTAGTTCTTGTGAACATAGACAGGATAGCCCCTTGGATAGATCACTTGAATCCTGAGTATGTTTTACGATTTCTATTGTGGGTTCTGAGCTCTGACTTGTATTCTTTAGCTCATTATAGCTGCTGGATAGTGGGTAGTCGATGAGCTCCTCACATTCCGTGTGCTAGTTGGTAGTGGATTCCTGTCTTTTTTCTGTGAGAAACAGCATAGTGGAGAGGGGGAAGGGGTTTCAAATTAGGCTCTTAGCACTAAGTTGTCCCCTCTCCCCTAAGTCCTGTCTGTACAGTTTAAGCTGCTTTCAGTCTGAGGTAAGTTCAAACTATGTTGATTGCATTTCCTAGTTTCCTTTTTTTTTCCCTTACTTGACTTTGGGCTAAAATATATGCTCTTCTGACACTAGAAGATTACTTTATGCTGACTTGAATATATGAATATATTTAGTGTGTGTGTGTGTGTGTGTGTGTGTGCGCGCGCGCGCATGTGTGTGTGTTTTCTCAGATTTCAGTTCTCTTTAAAATCAGTTCATTCTTTACCAAGTCCTAGCCAGGTTTATCCTACTACATTGAGGACCCTAGTTAAGACCAGGTATATTTATTTCAGGAGAGTTTTAGAGTAGAATAGTATCATACTTGAATTTACCATTTACTGTTCCCTCTGCATTATTTGGTCTAATTATGGACACATTTTGTCATATATCAGTAATCTCTTCTCTTCTCTTCTCTTCCTAAGTTGAACTTCATGGAGAGTAAGTTGAATTTAAAAATATATAGTTTCATGGATTTAGAATTAGTCCTGTTTTGGCTTTGTTGTTGTTATTGTTGTTTATTTGAGGTTTTCCTGAAACAAATAAATGTGCTGATAACAATTGTTCAAATTTCTATGTGGGCAAATGTCTTTATGTTTCAGGCTTATACCTGAAAGTGTAATTTTATGTAATTTAATGTTTAAATGTTTAAATTTTTCTTTATTCAGAACTTATCAGTTTTTCATCAAGATAGAACAATTACATTCTCATATGCAATGTAAGAATAATCATGGCAGGCTATAACCATGTCACCTTTTGCTTATGTAGATAGATAGATAGATAGATAGATAGATAGATAGATAGATAGATATGGGGACCTAAAGGCCCCACCTTGCATAGGTCCAAAAGGAAGCGTACATACATAGATACATACATAGATACATACATAGATACATACATACATAGATGTATGTGTGTGTGTGTGTGTAATTTTAGCCATTGTCATAGATCTGTAATGTTATATCCTATTTCTTTCATTAGTAAAGATTACTCATACAAAATATTGTCATCGTGATGTTTTCATACATGTTCTTTGATCATAACCACATAAATTCCTGTTCAATGGTCTTTAGATTTCCCAGCATACCTGTATCACCAATTTTATTTTTGTTTCTGATTCTATGCTATGTTTAATATAGATTACACATTTGAGAACAATATGTTTTTCTTCTGAGTCTGCTGTGGTTCTCTACAGCATCTCCTCTCCAGGGTGGTAAGACTGTCACAAATGTTTCTAGTCCCTGTGGATCCCTTCTGATAGGAAGAATGTCACACACATACCCCTACTGTGATGATAGTGATAGACTCTAGGGCCTTATACTTGCTAGGCATGTGCTCTACCACTAAGCTAAATCCCCAGTTCCATAATAGTATTTTTAATAGAAGACAGTATTATAAAACCAAATCGGGGCTGGAGAGATGGCTCAGCAGTTAAGAACACTGGCTGCTCTTGCAGAGTTCAGTTCCCAACACCAACATGGCAGCTAACAACTGTCTGTAACTCAAGTTACAGGAAAATCTGATGCCCTCTTCTGACCTTGCAGGTATTGCATGGCACGGTGCACTAACTTACATGCAGGGAATGTACTCATATACACAAAAATTTAAAAAATAAAAATTTTAAAAATTGTATTAAAATAAAAAATAAAACTCTTTTAAAAAGAAAATTAAAAGTCTTTTAAAAATTAGATTGGAGTGGGAATGCTGGAGAATATGGCTCAGGGGTTAAGGGCTGCTCTGGCAGAGGACCCAGGTTCACTTCTCAGCACTCACACAGCAGATGACAACTATCTATAACTCCAGTTCCATGGGATCTGTACCCTTCCGCTTCTGTGGGCATTCCAAGCACATGGTACACATAATAACATATAGGCAAACATATATGTAAAACAAATCTTTAAACAAATTTATTGGGGGCTGGAAAGATGGCTCAGTGGTCAGGAACACTGATTGTTCTTACAGAAGACCCAGGTTTGAATCCTAGCACCCACATGGCAGCTAACAACTGTCTGTAACTCCAGTTCCAGGGGATCCAACAGCCTCTTCTGGCCTCCACAGGCATTGCACGACAAAACATTTTTTGAAAAAATAGATTGGTCAAGGCATGGTGGTGCATACCTTTAATCCCAGCACATGGGAGGCAAAGGCAGATGGATCTCAGTGAAACTGAAGCCAGCCTTGTCTAGATAGCAAGTTCCTGACCAGGTGTGGGTACAGGGAGGTCCTGTCTCCAAAAGACAAAAAAGATCAGCCCACCAATATTTTCTTACTTTTAAACAGTAAAATCAAAGGGAGGATGTGCTGTTCTGGAGGGCTGCACAGAGGACCAGACATCAGCTCTGCCTTCAATAATAGAAGGGGTTAACCTGGGTCTTTTTCATTTAAATCCTGGTCATCCTGCAACCCTGGGAGTTACCTGAACATTTGTTGAGAGCTTGGTATATTTTAGATGCTAGATATTCTAATCATTGCCTCATCTCTGCAAGAGGGCTTAATTGTTACCCCACATCAAACACAGACCTGTGCACAGAGGCCTGCAGGCCTGCCAGAGTCATCAGCTCACAGGGAGGGGCGGCACCTCAGCCAAGCATCTGGCGCCAGTGCGTACAGTTGTCCACCACAGTATAAACCCTGTAACTACATTTACAGCCAGGCTACTGCACTTTGTGCTCTTGCTCAAAATGGCATTTCATAAGAAAATCATGTTAAAATCTCGAGCAGTTGGCATAAGAAAGAAAATAAAATTTTACACTATAATGGTTCTTTTTATTGACCACTTAGGCATAGTAATTAGCTCATAAGCATTCTTTTTCCCAGTCTACAACCCATTGTGAACATTGATATTGCATTTAAGTATATATCTAATAAAACCTAATGATATTTAGATGTAGAATTGCAGACGATTCATATTCTCAGAATGAAGAAATATAGCCAAGAGTCAAATGGATAAGGATCCTAGATAATCTACCTCGTCTTCAAGTACCGCTGTGTACGTACCTAACAGGCTCTAACAGCCCCTCAGTGGAATACAATTTTCACAGCCCCAGACATCTTTTGTATCTTCTGTGTTGTTTAGGTAGCCTCCAAGGTCATTGGCTGGCTGCCACCCTGAGCCTCCTGACCTTGAGGGGCAGGCCTCTCCAACTAGAGGGTGATTGGTGGTGGTGTACATGTTGGTGATATACATGTCCACAGTGATGTCTGATGGTCTCACCTCTCTTCCAGATGAGTGCCACGATGGAGAACCAGCTGCACTACATCAACCCAGCACATGACATCTCTCTGCTCAGTGCCCTCAATGAGGCGCGCCTCAAGGGACAACTGTGTGACGTGCTCCTGATTGTGGGGGACCAGAAGTTCTGTGCTCATAAGAATGTCTTGGCTGCCAGCAGCGAGTACTTCCGGAGTTTGTTCATGAATAAGGCAAACAAGTCGAAGACTATCTTTCAGGTGGACTTCTGTGCGCCATATGTTTTTGATAACATGCTAAACTACATCTATTCCTCCTCCCTGTTTAAGTACTTCCGGAGTTTGTTCATGAATGGAGTTTGTTCATGAATAAGGCAAACAAGTCGAAGACTATCTTTCGGGTGGACTTCTGTGAGCCATATGTTTTTGATAACATGCTAAACTACATCTATTCCTCCTCCCTGTTTGTGGAGAAGGGCAGCGTTGCTGCTGTGCAGGAGCTGGGCTATAGACTCGGCATCTCCTTCCTGACCAACATTGTTGCCAAAGCCCCACAGCCCCCTTTCCAGCATGTCCCAAAAGAAAGAGATTACCAGTAGAGGATGATGAGAGAGACCAGCTCTCAAAAGGAAAGTGTCATCGTGTGTCAGAACAGAAGTGCAGGGCAGGGGAAGGCCAGCGGTCCCGCTGCACCCAACCTCAGCCATGCTGTCCGGCACTCACTGAGCATCGCAGTCAACACCATCACCAGCAAGGCACAGGTGGCCAAACCAGCAGAGCTGCATCACAGCCTGCCCTTGCCTGAAAAGAGCTGGCCAAAAGACAGTGCTGCAGTGTATGCAAAGTCCCTGGAGCATCCTGTGGCTTTGGATGATCCTAGCAGGAGCAGTTTAGTAAAGAGAAATGCAGACCTGCCCTCAAAGCCTCCACAAGATGGAGATGCCACGGCCTGTAAGCCAGGGCTTACAGGGGAGAGTGATAAACTACCTCTCAAGAGACCATGGCCACCTGTTCTGTCCCTTTGTAGCTCATCAGAGACTCCTTATCTCTTAAAGGAAACTAGCAAAAGAAGTGGTCAAGGGGAGGACAGGAACTTGTTGTACTATTCCAAGCTGGGCTCAGTGGTTCCGTCCAGTGGACCTGCTTCTGCAAACAAGAGCATTGACAGAAGTGGGCCACTTGTGAAGAGTCTCCTCAGGAGGTTCCTGTCTATGGACAGCCAGGTTCCTGTGTACTCCCCCTCCATAGACCTGAAGTCCTCCCAGGGATCATCCACAGTGGCTAACAATACACCAGGTACTGTGTTCTGTGCAATATCTCAGAAGTCAGCCCTGAAAGATGGTAGTGAGGAACCAGCCCTCGATGACAGGCCTCAACTGCTACAACCACATCGCATCATATCTTTCAATGCTTCTCAGTCCACAGACAAGGGGGGCAGCCCACTATCAGACCCCTCAGACATCATCGGGGTCACCATGGGAGACACAGCAGCGACAAGAGACCTGCCTCTGAAAATGGAGGAGGACCAGAAGGACATGAGCAGACTCCCAGCCAAAAGGTGGTTCCAGGCAGACAGGCGGTCACCCTTTAGGAAGGCAAGGGCGGATGAGCATGGGCCTCCTTCCTCAGAGAACTGTGAGGTCACGAATCCTCCCCGTGACAGCAACTTCCCAGATTCTGACTTAACCAAAAAGGTGAGGTGGAGGTGCCTAGACCAAACAAAAAATGTAAATGCAAACATTGCCTTAAGATCTTTAGATCAACGTCCGGTCTTCATCACCATGTTAACATGTGCCATAACCCAGAGAAGCCCTATGCTTGTGACATCTGTCACAAGAGGTTCCATACCAATTCCAAAGTGTGGACACACTGTCAGACCCAACACAGCATAGTGAACAACCCATCACCAGCCTGTAGCTCCCATGTGAATTTGGATGAGAAATTCCACAGAAAGGTGGTTGATAGAGTAAGAGAGAGGGAGTTTAAAAAGGCCCTGATCATTAAGCTGAGGTGCAGCAAACCTGGCTTCCAGAGCCAGAGAAGCTGCCTAGCACAGCAAGTCATCAAGAAGAACTTGTGCTCCCAAGCCAAAGGGGCCTACATTTGTACTTACTGTGGAAAGGCCAACTGCTTTCTCTCTCAGTTTAAGCAGCACCTGAAAATGCACCCAGGATTCAAGCCCTCCTTCAGCATCTGGCAGCACCAAGTGGAAGTGCACAACCAGAACAGCATGGCCTCCACTAAGAACGTCTCCCTGCCCACCCTGGACCACAGTGGTGAAGCTGCAGCTGCCTCCAGGACCCAGGCCCAGGTGGAGCCTAGTAAGGTCAACCATGTGGCCATGCCAAATGAGGACACCATGTTCAGCGACTCTTCGGAGCAAGTAAAGTTTGATTCAGAGGACTCCTCCTGCCTGCCTGAAAACCTGAGCCTTTCAAAGCAGCTCAGAATCCACGTCAAAGAGAAACCAGTGGAAGAGGCTGAGGAGGAGGCACCTGAGGCCAGCGTGGCTCCCAAGGAGGCCTCCCCCAGCAAGGAGGCTGGCCCGTGGCCTTGTGAGAAATGCGGGAAGATGTTTAGGGTGCACAAGCAGCTGGAGTGGCACCAGGAGCTGCTGTGCCCTGTGAAGCCCATCATCTGCCAAGTGTGCCACAAAGCCTTCCACACCAACTTCCAGCTCTGGAGTCACTTCCAGTCGCACAAGTCTCAGGCCACAGAGGATCCTGCTCAGAAAGAGGAAGAGGTGTGCCCTGTGCCCACAAACTCCCCCTCCTCCCCTTCTCTGCCACCACCACCACCCTTGCCCACGATCCGGCCACTGGAGCCTGACAGCCCCACAGGTCTGCCGGAAAATCCCACCCCTGCTACAGACAAACTATTCGCACCCCAGGACACCCTCTTCTACCATGCCCCTCCCCTTTCCGCGATCACACTTAAAAGAGAGTTTATGTGCAAACGCTGCTATAGGACATTCAAGACCGCCTTCAGTCTTTGGAGTCACGAACAGACACACAATTAAAGGACTGATTCTTCTCAACTGTCAAGAAACAGCAGGCCCACAGCCTGTGAACTATGTCCTAAGAAAGAACAATTTTTAATAAAGAATAATAAAGATTGGAAATTTTTATGTTTGAATTCAAGTTTGAGGTGAACTGGTGCTGGCTAGGAATGTCGGCCTTAGAAGCAGTCTTTGAAGTGGTGCCTTTCTGGACCTCAGCAGGTTTGGGTGTGGATACCATTGAAACCAGATTCATGTTGACAGACTGCATGGTTCCAAGGTGACAGTATAACCATTTAGTCAAGGTTTATGTTTGTTTCTCCTGAGTTCTGTTAGTGGAATCCATAGCTCCTTTCTTCTATTATTTCAGACACCTGAGTCCCAGCCATCTTAAGGCCAGAAACTAAGCAGGCGGAGGTGGAACAGCTTTCAGTGTTGTACTAGATCTTAGGATCTTAGCAATAAGAGAAACCTCAGCTTCAGTAAGTTATCCTGATACTTGAGAAAGACAAATATTTGATATTTTGTGGTCATATAACTTTCTTTTAGTATGAAAATTGTGAGAATTTAAATCAGCATTAGTCACGCGTAGTTTTGTTTTGTTTTTGTTTTTTTTTTCTGGTCTTTTTGAGACAGGGATCTCCCGGTAGCCGCAGCTCTCCTAAAACTCACTGTGTAGACCAGACTGGGCTTGAACTCACAGAAATCAGCCTGCCTCTGCCCCCCGAGTGCTGGGATTAAAGGTGTTTGCCACCATACCTGGCCCACATGTAGATTTTTATAACAAGCTCTGGGTCACTTTGTGTTATTAGTGATGGCCACTGCTAAGGAAGGAGGAGACATGAAGGCGTGATTTGCGGGAGTGTTCTCAGTCAGCTTGCCAAGTGCCTCAGCAGCCAGGGGCTCTGTCCTAGAAGCCACTGTGCTGCTGCATAGTGTGTGGGCTGCACCACAGCATGGCCTCCTACTGGCGTTTGAGAACTGTCAGTGCTCAGTCTCCTCTGATTCCGGTGTCCCAACTCAAACATCATAGTGTGGTTGGGACAGACAGGGGTAACTGTAGCAACAGGTGGGAAGGCAGTTAGATAGATAGACCTCATGCTGAAGGCGCAGGGATGCACCACAGCCTAGACCACAATTCCTCCAGGAACTTGAAAACAGGGAGGAAATGCCACCTGAGGCTTCCATGTGGTTCCCAGTACCAGCAGCAGACACAGTCTCTGCCTGTGTCTTTGTGAAGACTTTTGTGGGAGTGTTGCAGTTCCGGGAGGAGAGACTGGTCTGAGCCAAGTACTACCCCAGTCACTGCCCGATACTCAGATGTGTGTTCAAGGGCAAAGAAGAGCCCAGAATTAAGTTTTCCTATTTATCTTGGTCCATAGGGTTTGGGCTCCTTTTTTTTCCCTATATCTTGTAAACTGCAATTAAAACCTCTCAGTAGGCATGATCCAAAGTTCAGTGGCATATTTCAAAAGCTGATTTCACTTGTGAGGGGAAGGGTTATACATATATGAGGAAAATGTTTTTGGAACTCCAAGTTACTTTTAAGCTAGCCTTGACGTTCAAGTTTCAAGACGTGCTAAAATGTGCTGTTTTGTGTTTCAAAATAAGCGATTGAATTCATTTAAATGAATGCTCAAGCAGAAACACCTTCCCATCACTCTGATGACCAACATTCCACATCCACAGTAACAAAGGCATTCTCTATTGAAACACAGCATTTTTATAAAGTACTAATGGCCTTTGTATCTTATAGAAACTGTATGTGAAATTTTGCCTTTTATCCTTTCATTTGAAAAAGTTATCAAAAAATGCCTAAATATTTTAGCATTTCCTATTTTTTCTTAAATTTGGTGGAGAAGGGAATAAAATTAGGTTGCAGTTCTTGCTGTTTGCCAGCCTGTTTCCTTGAAGTATGCATTCAGAGAGGAGCTGACAGCAAACACCCTCTAGAGTGAGGGACATCAGGTTTGGTCTTGTCCATTGAATTCATGCGCTCTGCAGTGTTGTGAGCATGGTGTTCTTCCTCTGAACACCTCGGAACTGTCAATTTAAGACAGTCTCCCTGAGTGCTCACCTCCCTGGTGGCTATAGAGTAACAGGTAATCCCAGAAGCCTGGCCTTCCATGTTACCTGTCCCAGGACTTGAACATTTATGATACATTTTTGAAGATTTATAAAATAACACTGTTAATCAGAAAAGCTATTTTTGATCTAAATATGGGCTCTGCATATCTGTTAGGTTTTAAGAATTACCAGTATTGTGTCTTGTTCACTTTTTTTCTAGGAAAGAAACATAAGATTTCAATTAAAAATTTGAACCAAAAACATTTATAGTGCAGTTCTGCCTTCTCTATTGAGTTTTATACTGTATCTTAAAGGCATCAGCCTCATAGAGCTTATTTTGGTGTCAAAAAAAATACCCTTCCACTCACGTAACTATTTTCAACATTAAGAAATAATGAGAAATATTACTGACTTTATTCAGTAAACAGCTTTTTTTCATTTTTAAAAATTTAATAACCACATGATTAGAAGTATTTCATTACAGCATTAACATATTCAATACCAATTTCCAGAGCAAAGATGCAACTCTTTCAAAATAAGCTCTAAATTTTTAGGTTGAATTAATTAATTAATTGAATTAATACAGTTATATAATATTGAACTCAGTGTAAACCCTGTAATACAGACATAAAATTGAATGAGTATTTAACCTTTGAAAAAGATCTCCATTTCACTTTAAAATATACTGTTTCATAAAGAAAAAACTCATTTTTAATGTTACTAACACTTAGATGTTTGCACATGCATCTCTAACCTCTACGTATCTGATTATTACTAGTCACAGTCAGTTACTTTCTGAGCTCTTGGCACCTGAACATGGACATAAAGTCATCAGGCAGATTCCAATGGTAATATTTTTCACCTCTACTAATTAACATGAAGAAAATTTTTGTGATTCTTCTTCAAATATAACTCAGTTTTTATTTGTTGATTTTTGTGTGTATTTCATACAGAACATTCCAAACAATCTTATTCATCTGTAGACCCACAACCAAAATGGCACCTTCCCATAGCCGCCTCGCCCCACTGGAGCTCATATACTCTGTCATCCCTGTTACTGTCCACTGTGTTGTTGGCGCCCCCAGCGTTCTCCAGTGCTTGTCCATCTGTTGAATCTAGTCAGCCTATCCAGAGGTCCTTGTTTTAGGAATATCAGCTCTTCCTCATCTAGCAGCAATCAGTTGCCAATATTCCTTTAGGTAAAATTGGGATCTGCTGTTCATTTTCCCAGTTCTATGCTGGACATTAGCTATATACATGGACTCTTAAAGAACTATACTGATCCCTTTCATCTTTGGTTGTACTTTCCTTTTGGGTGTTCAAGACCGTACAATACAGTTGGCCCAGATAAACCAATTTATTTTTACTCTTAAGGTCCTTTGAGGATCTGTTCCTCAGGGATCACATGGGCTTGGGAGGAGCCCCTAGCTTCTTTCCTTTACCAGTTCCATCTATGTAAAGATAAATCAAAGGTCCTGCTCGACTGTGGCTGGCTTCACTCGGAAGCATAGAGGAAATGTTTTCTCTGTGTTGACCCTCCTCTTTGTAGACTGGACACTGGCTCAAGTCCTTCTGGTGGGGTCTCCGTGGCCTCCTTGATCAAGAGGACAGGTGACTCACCACAGTTACAGGACATTTTGAGAGGTACTCCATAGTCCCCTGGAACTTAGTAGACCTAGGAGGGCAAGAAGCAAAACCTGTCTTTTATGTCTCTCTGACCAAATTAGTATAGGCCTCAAAGTATGCCTGTTAAACATCCAAGAAGGTTAGTTCCACCAGTCTGGTATTTTTAATTACATTGTGCTATTGATCCCTTTAATCTTTGGTTGTACTTTCCTTTGGGGTGTTTAAGACCATACAGTTGGCCCAGATAAACCAATTTATTTTGACTCTTAAGGTCATTTGAGGATCTGTTCCTCAGGGATCACATGGGCTTGGGTGGAGCCCCTGGCTTCTTTCTTTTACCCTTCTCTTTGTAGACTGGGCACTGATTCAGGTTCTTTTGGTGGGGTCTCGATGGCCTCCTCGATCAAGGGGACAGGTGACTCACCACAGTTACAGAACATTTTGAGAGGTGCTCCATAGTCCCCTGGAACTTAGTCGACCTAGAATGGCAAGGAGCAAAAACTGTGGACCCAGGTTCCATTCCCAGCACCCACATGGCGGCTATGAACCATCCTTTAGTTCCAGGGGAATCTGAAGCCCTCTTCTGACTTCCGCAGCATTGCACTACAGAGATGCATTCACATACATACAGGCCATACACCCATACACATAAAATAAAAATAATATGTAAACAGCTTTTTAATGTTTATTTCAGCCAGCAGTCAAATATTTGGTGTTAAATAAGTTGATTTTTCATGATACAAATGTATAGATAGTAAAGATATTCTTGTAAATGTTTTTCTCATTCTAATTAAGTTTTGCAACTGTAGAAAGCTCATTATTTCTTGTAAGTATTTAAGATGCTTGCTTTTTATAGAGTTGTGGAAAGAATATAAAATGTTTTAATATATTCTTTGTCAATCTGTAAAAAACTAGGCTATTATGCAATTTTGCCCTTTTCTGTTTTTCTCCTGCCTCCTTTTGTCTTCACTGATTTTTTTTAATTCAGTTTAAATTCTTCCTTAGGACTTTTATCTTTAGGGATTGAAAATCACTCCAATATTCTTTGACTCAAATTACAAAAAGAGACTGTGTTTACAGTCCCTGACTGGATTCTGAACTGAGATTAATTCACCTCTGAAACAAAATACAGGTGTTAAGCTGCTGTATAAATTCCCTGGTTCAAATTTCAGACAATGGCTCTGTGGTCAGGAAAGGGTGCCATTTGTCCACCATCTTCCTTGGGCATCCTGTACATTTGACACTCTGGAAGTTCTCAGTGCCCACATAATAGTATTTCCAGTACATTGTAGACCATCTTGGAGAAATGGAAAAAGATGTTCCCTCAGCCCAGCAACAAATCGTATCAGGTTTGTCCAAGTTACAAATAGTCAATAGATACTTTTTGTCAGTTATGTATTACTTTTTTGTGCTGTGAATGTAGGTC